ACCTTGATCAGATCTTGGTGTTTATTCCCTCTATTTTTGACGGGTTGTGCTTTGAATCTGCCTTCTTTGCATTCTAGGCCGCGATTTGAAGGCCCAATGGGGAGAGTCATATCTGATACTTCTTCTGAATTTGTGCTTGGAGAGGAAAGTTATGAGTGTTGAGGAGGTTTTGGTCTCTCATAATAGTGATCGTGCTGAAAAGGCTTTGTTTCTCCCTGGTGGTGAGGAGCCCTCTATTGATGACACTACCGGTTAGGTGCAACCAATTTTCTTTGATTTTAGAAGAGAAGTTTGAGTTTTGTTCTAGTGAGTCAGATTCAGAGAATCCTACATCAGTTCCCGTGGCTTCTAGTTCAGGTCATTCCGGCGAGCCTCCATTGGCTTTGCCCCCAGTTGTCTCGAATCGTGTTAAGAAGAGGGGGTCCAAAGGGGCTCCATTTTCCTCTTACCCTAAAAAGAAAAAGGTCCGTCAAAACATTTATGACCTCACTTATTATGCCGAGTCTACCCCGAGTCTTATCGACGAGGATGACTTAGAAGCCCTGAGGGGGGAATACTCCTTTTTTGCTTTTATCTTGCTTCATTCTCCTGAGGAGGATGGGAGGTGAAAATCATCTATTCCTGGGATGACTTACTTTTTCACCTCGACGTTCTGAGCTGGCCTTAGGTTTCCTGTTGATCCATTTATTCGAGATGTTCTTACCTTCTACAATGTATGTCCAGCTTGGGTTTTTCTTGGGGCTTGTTGATTGGTCTTCTTGTCCATTGGTGCAAAAGTGGGAACATTTCTCCACCCATTATTTGTGAGTTTGCCCACCTTTTAAAGCTTAACTTTTCTCCTGCTCTGGGCCTTTTCTATTTTGCCAAGCAGGTTAAGGTGAAGAGTCTGATTTTTGGGCTTCCTTTTTCCAACAAGTGATGGAAACCAAAGTTCTTCTTTGTTTGAGTTGATTCTTGAGAGTTGTTAGGAACATCCAGCGATATTCTCCGCGTTCCCAGATTTTGGGGGGCCCCAAGAAACACACATAAGAACATCCTTTGACGATTTACTTGTTAAATGTGTTCTTGTCATTGTTCTAACCTATCCTTTGTCTTGCTTACAGGTTTCCATCCTTCTCTAGATTATAGAGAGGCTGGGAGAGTGGCCTCAGTTGAAACCTATGATCTTAAACCTTTTTCCACTCTGGTCACCAAGGAGAAGCTTGTTGAGTACGGGTTTGGGCCCCCTATGGAGACATTGCCTACTCAAACCACCACCATGGAAACATTGCTTGAACTTATAGTGGCTAGGTTTGCTGATGAGAGGAAAAGAAAAAGGAAATTGATAAAAACTTCTGAGCTTTTTTCTCCCAAGAAGTTGAAGTTGGCAAGTATCCCTTCGGGGCTTGAAGTGGAAGACGTGATTTCCCCTGAGACTACCCTTGCCCCTTCTTTATCACCTAAGCTACCTCGTAAAGGTAGACCCAAGACTGCCAGAGTCAAGCTTGATAAGATGGCTGCAACTCATTTCTAGAAGGGGCAGTAGGTTCTTTCGTGATCTTGTAACAGTTGTGGATGCGTTGGCTAACTTGGTTCCTACTATGGACCCTTACAAAGCTGTGAAGATCAGATTTGAAAGGAAGACCAAGCACGCCATTCTGAGTTTGGCTGAGGTATTATGTCCTTTTCTTGTTTCCTGGAGTATGACATTTGGGATCTCCCTTTTTGTTTTATCTTTTACAGTATGTGTCTTTGCTACTAGGCCTTGACTTGCATCAAGTTGATGGAGTTTCACTACCAAAACATATCAAGAGTGCTAAATTGTCAATCCTCCCAGTAGGTTCCCCTTCCTTTTGAACTTGAGAGGGCCTGACTAGTTAAGTAACAGTTGAGGAAAGACTTGGTTGCTAAGGAGCACGATCTGGGAGGAGCACTGGATTCTGCGGATGCAATTAAGGTAGGGAGAGGTTTGGCCGAGGAGAAGAATACTATCCTTGTCGTTGAGTTGGTCGACATGAAGAAGGCCAACGTCGCACTGGATGTTCATCTTTAGGATGCTAGCGACTCCATCAAGAGGAAATACATTGAACTGAAGGTGAAGGAGGAGGATGAGTTAAAGGCGAAGAAGGAGGAGTTGAAGGCAAAAGTGAGGGAACTAAAAGCTAGAGACTGGAGGATTGCGGAGCTCCTTGAGGTGAATGCTTCTGCTTTATGCAAGGATTCATGAACTTTGAAGAACAAGTGGAGGGGTCGTACCCCAACCTAGACCTGGACTCCTTTATGCCAGAGATGGAGGTGTTAAGGCCTAAGGAGCCTGCAGAGGGATCCGACGCCAAGAAAACTAAAGAGACTACAGAGCCCACTACATAGTTCTTGTTTGTAGGTTGTGGGATTTCATAGTGATCTATAATTTGATATTTGTAGTTTGGGTTCGTAACAAAATTTTTGTTACTTCAACTTTATTCCCTGCTTTTAATGCCCCTTTCCCATTGCACTTTCATTTTAGATGGCTTTTGTGTGCTTACCTATTTGTTTCTTCTACCTTTCCCCCCTTTTATTTTGTTGCACCCTTTTCGACTCTTAGTCTTGGAGGAATGAAGGGCTAAAATTTGTTCCTCTGAGTTGTATTGACCTTCGTTTGTAGTAGTGGGGACCCCTATGAGCTGGCGAGTTGCTCGATATCTTGCTCATGGCTGAACTGCTTGGCAAGCCTGCTTTGTCCTGACCTGGTCAAGCCGCTCTCTTGAAGGGCTTATCCTTAAAAGCCTAGACATTTCACGGGCTAGCAAAGTTTGTCTGGTGAAGGATTTGGAGAGATTTTTTTTAAAGCTCGAGTTGAGCAGTCGTGCTTGAACTGTTCAGGATAATTAGGGTCATTTTAAACCTTTTATTCTATCTTTTCATGTCCTCCAAGTTTGATAATTTTCTTCAGTTGAGGTTGTGTGCCTATGATGATGAAAGTGCCTCCTCAAAAGTTGTGCCCGTTGCCCACATTTTGTGACATGTGGCCAGCACATTTAATGCAATAGATAGGCATTCATTTCGCCTTTCCAAAAGGGACTTGTACTACCAAAAATCCTTGTCCATCTTCTTTGTAGGTTTTCACCACTTTGCTTGAGTATCCTTTGCTTCATTCTCTAGCAAAATTTCCATTTTGATTTTTTGGACCCTTCTCACTTTGTCTCAAGGTTCTGCTTCTTGGTATGACACCTTGCAAGAATCCTTCCTTGACATCGAGGTTAGCGAGATTGATACGATAGAAGTCAGTACATTGTCAAGCTGTTATGATTTTCTTACTGGGGTATCGATTCATGCTACAAGTAGTGATCCTTACCACTGGTCTTTAGGGCAAAATGTTTGCTTTTTTGTGGTTCCCTTCCAATTGGACCTCAGGTTTACCCTTCCTTCCTTTGTGAGGGAAATTCTTCATTTCTTTAGTTTTTGTCCTGCCATCCAATTGTAGACAGACTGGGCCATTCTTTTGGTTTTCCCGATCATATGAGAACATCTGTTCAGGCAGCCACAAGTTTCTCTAGTGGAGTTTCTCAATCTTTTTTGCCCCGTGGAATTGTCTGGGCTCTACTTATTCATAGTGAGAAGAGGAAGTGAAACCCCTATCTCCAACCTTCCTCCTGAGCCTAAAGGTTGGAGGCAGAGGTTTTTCTTTGTATTTGGAATGGGTTGGGAATTTGCTTCCCAGGTTATCTTGTCAATTCATATTCCCACGGTTTGGGGGCGTCATGCTCATCTCGGTGAGTTTTCTTCTATCGAGTTTCCCATTGTTTGTATCTATGGTTTTAACTTTGTCTTTCATTGTTAGATGAGTATCCGAGCATAACCAGAGAAACACAAGCTCAGGTCGATCAAGCTTGTGCTCCTGGGCCCGTCTCTTCTGCTGAGTTGAGGGAACTCGAGTCGACTGAATCCTAAGCAGTGAGTGCCTAATTTTCTTACAAAGTTTAGTTACCTTGTGTTTTGCGGGGCCTTCCTAATTTGCTCACTTAGTTGGCTTATTTTCTCAACCCTTGCGTATCTATTCAATGAGAGGGATGTGATCGTGGATCAAGTGGACCAAAGGAGGTCGGCACGGGGCCCCGAGTCTCAGGCTAAAAGGGCGAGGGTTATTGAAGATCGTCTTATTCTGAGCCATTAGGTCAGGACCTTGACCTTGCTAACCACCAGGGAATTCACTCTGGGATCATGTCCACTAATCTCGAGGTGGACCCAATGCGACGTGGCCTTTTCTCCAAGGGTGTGAAAGGCTCCTGCTTTAGGCATCTCGATCCATTCGTGGTTGGAAGTCCAAGTGAGAGCTTGTTGGATGACATAGCCAGGGCTAGCCAAGCTTTCATGGAACTGATTCCTCAAGCAGACCTTTGCCGGTTCGTCGACCTCCCCTTTAGGTCCAGGACCCCAGATTCTTTTCAAGCTTTTTTTGAGGTTTGACTTGTCACTTTGCATGTTCTGACTTTTAGCCTTGCAAGTATTTACCCTTTTAATTTGTTTTCTGGTTATAACTCATGCCTGTACATTAGGTGGAGAGATTCACCATCTGAGGGTGGTAGCGGAGAGGAGATAAGCGAGGTTGGTTGAGCTGCTATGTTAGGATGTAGGGTTGGAGGCTAAGTTGGAGATGGCCCTTGAGCAGAGAGCCCAGGTCTTTTAGCAATTGATTGCTGCCACCACTTCGGAGATCTCTTTGTGAGGTCAGCTAAGCCAGAGGGAGGATGAGCTGGTGAGCACACAGGTCAAGAACATAGACCTAACAACTTAGCTGGTCTAGTCCCACACAATCATTGTTGATCTAGAGGACTCATTAAGTGCAGAATGACGACTGGTTGAGAAGTAGAAGTGGGAGATAGAGAAATTGAAGAGAGAAACTGCCAAAGCCTCTATGGATGGGTTATTCAACTTTGAGGATCAAGCCATCAAGAAGTTCCTTGATCTCAAATTTGACAAGTTTGAGCCTCGATTCAACCTTCCTCCTAGAGGCTTTCTTGGCGGTGGTGATGTCGATCTGACTACCTCAAAGCCTTGAGGACCTCTGCTCTTGCATGCTTCTTTTTCCTTTTTTTTTTTCCTGAAATTCATGTAAATATTCTTCTATTTTTTCTAATGGAATGAGATGACCACTTTTAGCTTCTGCATATCACCCTTGCCCCCTACTCCAAGGAGGTCTTGACTTGGTTAGAGTATGATTTTTGTTGATTGTGCCAAATTTGTGGGTTGAGTTCCCAAACTTTATCTTATTAATTGCCATGGATTACAAGGTCCGAGCTCTGCATCTTTCTTGAACTCATTAAGTGCATATCTCCCTTGGCCCCTTGCTTTGATTGGGTGTTCGAGCTCATCGTTTTCCGAGGTGGGGGTTAGAGCTGGTAGTTCTTTGGGTTGGAGGGCCAAGCTCTTCGTGATTTCAAATCTTGATAGGGGTGCCCAATTCGTACAATTTTGGAAAAAGGTGGTTACATGGGCTTACTTACGTGCCCACCTAACTCCGCCTTGAGCACTCTGCATTAACTCTAGTCATAAAACCTTTTACTTGAAGAAGCTTAACCATTGCCCTCTTGCCTCCATAAATTAACTACTTTGTTGTTCGAACTTTCACTTTCGATAGCTGTTTTCCTTGGCTACTTTCTCTTATTTCTTCATAGACTCCTCAACTTCTTCTTTGTTCAGGAAACGTGCCTCTATCCTCATAGAAGACCCTTGCTATTCCTTTTTCATGTTTCCTAGCTTGGTGAAAGTAGTTGAGGTAGAGGGAATTAGAAGGCAATATCACTTCCCCGCAGGCATGGTTGTTCGATGCCTTACTCTCGATAAGCCCTGCAAACCTTCTTCTTCAGAGGAATGTTTGCTTATTTAAGGGTGCATTCTAAATGGGGCTTTGACTAACCATTTATCCACCGATTAGGCAGATTCTAGCCTTTTTTGGGCTCTGCCCCCATGACTTTCATTAGAAGGATGAAACATCATTGTGAGTTTTTTCATCTTCTGGAGTATGCATGGACATGACCATTTCCCCTATGTTTCTAAATTCCTATATTTTTTCACTTTAATGATGATTTTCCTCTTTGCTTTTACCAATTTATGTGGAGGTTCTAAGTCCCAATGCTTGTTCTCAACACCCTTGGCTCCTCCGAGGGATTGTCGCAATATTTTTTCCTTGTCTCTAGGGACACTTGGGAATTCAACGAGGCACACATAGAAAATCTCCGTGTGCCTCGCTCTTGGGGATGCATTCTGAGTAGAGGTAAGGAGTTAGCCTACTTTTTCAAGTAGAAAGGACACCCTCATGTTGTACCTCTTTTTCTTGATGCGAGTGGCTTTTGTGTTGATGCAAGTGACCTCCGCTGACTCTTGATGAAATCGCAAGGGTCTACCACCTTAGCCGAGCTGAGGCAGTTCCCTTCTCCACACTGGTCATAATTTAGAACCTTTTTTAGGTTTGGGCTTTGTCCTAATCCTGTTGTCATTCTAGCCGCTATCTGTGCTACTATCCCTCTTGCCCCATCCCCTGTTGTTATCGAGGATCTTCCCTCAGAGGGTTTTGAGGAAGAAAATACTACTTCCTTTAGAAGGAGGAGGAAGAGATCCCAGGGGTCTTCCCTATCTCTGTCCTCAGACCCTTCATCAAGTGAAACAAGTTTTATAATTGCTGAGCTAGAGATGTAGTTTGAGCTAGCCATGTTGAGGAGACAGCTCTTCGAGACCAAGAAAGAGTGGGACGAGCTGAAGGAGGAGGATGCTCAGTTGAAAGGAGAGATCAAGGCACTAAAGAGAAAAAATCTTGGATCTTGAACATTTTGTTGTGTTCCTTGTAATCTTCTTTGGTCATTTGTTAATGTAAGATGGTCGCTTTGTTTTGTTGCTTTCATTTTGTGCTATCTTCTCCAGTGCCCTTTGGCTGAGGAACTTGTGGAGTTGATGACTTCCTCGAAAAATTCAGAAGGCTAAAGAGCCTATGATCGACCAAGCTGGCATGTTCTTAGGTTGGGAAACCTAGTTGAGGTCGCATGGCTGAAGAGCTCATATCTTTAAGAGTTGAAGAACTCTTTGAAGGTTGAAGAGCCTATGATCATCCGAATTAAAAAGCTCTAAGGCTAAAAAGCCTAGTCTAGGTCGCATGGCTAAAGAGCTAGCGCATTTGGGAGTTGAAGAACTCTTTGAAGACTGAAGAGTCTATGATCGTTTGAGCTAAAAAGCTCCAAGGTTGAGAAGCCTAGTCGAGGTTGCATGGTTAAAGAGCTCATGCCTTTGAGAGTTAAATAACTCTTTGAATATTGAAGAGCTTGCAATCGATTGAACTAAAAATCTCTTAGGCTGAGAAGCCTAGTCGAGGTCGTGCGGTTGAAAATCTTGCACCTTTGAGAGTTGAAGAACTCTTTGAAGGCCAAAGAGCCTATGATTGTTTGAGCTGAAAGCTCATAGGTTGAGAGGCCTAGTTGAGGTTGCATGGCTGAAGAGCTCACACCTTTGAGAGTTGAAGAACTTTTTGAAGGCTGAAGAGCCTGTGATTGACTGAGCTGAAAAGCTTTTAGGTTGAGAAGCCTAGTCGAGGTTTCATGACTAAAGAGCTTGCACCTTTGGGTGTGGGAAGGCCTTTCATACAAGCTTGATAGCAAGAATTCTAAATTTCATTGATTGGAAGTTGGGTTTTTACAACTACTTTTCGGGTTTCAGATTTCATAGCTACTCATGACAACTCAATCTTACTAATAGTATTGTTTTAGGTGATCAATGTTCTAGGAATGTTGTAGGTCCTTTCCTTCTTCGATTTGCAGCTCATAGTTGCCTGGTCGGACCACCTTTTTTACTATGTATGGACCTTCCCAGTTTGGACCACGATTCCTGTATGTTGGATCCTTTCTTCCTGGGAGTAGCTTTTTGAGGACTAGGTTGCCTGGCTTGAAACTTCTTCTTTTGACCTTTTGGTTATAGTATTGTGTAGTGTTCCTATGGTAAGAGAAAATGTGTTGTAGTGCCTCATCCATTCTCTTGTTGAGAATATAAAGATTGATGAGTAGGGATCATTTGTTCTGATCTGGGTGAAAAAGTTTAGCTCTAGCTGAAGGAAAACTGACCTCGATTGGAGCTATTACTTTGGTTCCATAGGTGAGGCTAAAGGGAGTATCATTGGTGGTTGTCCACACCGTTGTTCTGTAAGCCCATAATAATACGAGGAGGTGGCCGTCCCACTGGGCCTTGGAGGCTTCTAGTCTTGTTTTCAGCACCATTTTAATGGTTCGAATGGTGACCTTAACTTGTCCATTTGATTGCGGGTGTGCAGGTACTGAGAAATAATTTTTGATGCCAAGCTTCGAACAGAAACCTGTGAACTTGGGATTGTCAAATTTTTTTTTGTTATTTGAGACCATGGTTCTCAGGACATCAAACCTATTGATAATAGATTTCCACACGAAGTTCCTCACCTTCTGCTCGATAATCTTTGCCAATGCTTCTATTTCTGCCCATTTAGTGAAATAGTCCACGGTGAATATGACGAGTTTACATTGCTCGATGCCAACTAGGAAGAGTCCTAGTATGTCCAACCCCATTGCTAGAAAGGCCATGGGTTGACCACTGTCGTGAGCTGCTTTAGCGAGTAGTGCAAAAAATATTCGTGGATCTGGCATGCTTGACATTTCTTCACTATTTCTTTCGAATCTCTCACCATTGTGGGCTAGAAGTATCCTTGTCAAAGCACTTTGTTTGCAAGGGTCTGTGCTCCTATGTGTTTCCCACATATGCCTTTGTGTATCTCTCTTAGAACATAATCCTCTTCAAGATTTGTAGCACATTTCAGTAGAGGGAATGAAAATATGTGTTTGTAGAGTTTACCTTGCACCATGGTAAATTTAGATGCTTTTCTTTTTAACTTAGATGCTTCTTTTTGATCACGCAAGAGATCCCTATTCTGCAGATAGGTGATGATGGGGTCCATCCAAGGTTTGTTCTTCTTGACTGGCATAGCTTGATCTTCATCGAGGTGGACAGTTGGTTTGAGTAGAAGTTCAATAGGCATTGTCCTTATCAGGTCCTTTTGAGTCATCGTGGCCAACTTCGCAAGTGCGTCTGCTCAGTTGTTTTCCTCTCGAGAATCTGGATGAGCTCGGTATACAAAAAATTCTTGAGTAGATACTGAACCTTTCTAAAGTATAAGGCCAGCTTATATACTCAGGCAACATACTCTTTCTCGTCATCACCAACTGAGAGTCGCTATGAACAATAATCTGTTGTGCTTCCATTGATAGAGCCAAGTTAAGCCTGAATATAGGGGATTAGTCCTCGGCTTCATTGTTGGAGGCATGGAAGTTGAATCTGAGTGCATACTCAAGACTTTATCCCTCAAGAGACATTAGGATGAGGTCGGCTTCGCTCCCTTGTGAGTTTGATGCGCCATCTACATACATTTTCCACATTCGGGCGTCTGCAGTGAGGTCAAGATTTTTGGACTGGTCTTTAGTTTAGGGGTGAATTCCACAATGAAGTCGGCTAGTGCCTGGCCCTTAATGAATTTTCTGGGCTTGAACTTTATATCAAACTGGTTAAGCTCCACATCCCACTTGACTATCATACAAGATGATTCCGATTTGTGTAGGACCTGCCTCATGGGCTAATTGGTTGGGATCTTAATGGTATGAGCCTAGCAGTATAGCCTTAATCTTCTGGTTGCAACAAAGAAAGCTAAGATGGGCTTCTCCATTTTGGGATACCACTCTTTCGCTCCTCTGAGGGCTTTGCTATAGAAATAAATGGGTTGTTGTACCTTCTCTTTGTCCTTCACTAAGGCGGCATTAATAGAGAATTCGGATACTATAAGGTATAAGGTCAGGACCTCCCATTTTCTTAGACTAACCAACACTAGAGGTGAATCTAGGTAAGCTTTCAGGGCTTGGAAAGTTTCTTTGCATTTCTCTTTCCACTAGAAGACTGCTTTTAGGACTTTGAAAAATGATTGGCACTTATTGTTAGAGTGCAAGATAAACTGATTAAGTGCATCTATTCTCTCGGTGAGGCGTTGAACCTCCCTAATGCTAGTGGGTGACTTCATGTCTATGACAGCTCATACTTTCTCTGTGTTAACCTTGATTCCTTGGCTGTTTACGATGAATCCCAAGAATTTCTTGGCTGATACTCCAAAGGCACACTTGGCCGGGTTTAACTTCATCTTGTATTATCGCATCATGTCAAAGGACACTTGAAGGTGTTGGATATGGAGCTCAGTTTTAAGGGACTTGACTAACATGTCATCTATGTATACCTCCATCATTGAGCCGAGGTTTTCTTGAAACATGTTGTTACCCAGCCTTTGTAAAGTGGCCCCAGTGTTCTTCAGACCAAGGGCACAACCTGATAGCAAAAGGTTCCTTAATCCATAACAAAGGAGGTATTCTCCAAGTTGTTGGGATCCATCCTAATCTAGTTTTAGCTAGAGAAGACATCCATGAAACTAAGGAGCTCGTGTTCCATCATGGTGTCGACTATGAGCTCGATCCGGGGCAAAGGAAAGCTATCTTTAGGGCAGGCAAAATATAGATCAGTAAAGTCGATGCACAGGTGCCATTTCCCATTAACCTTCTTGACCAATATTATGTTGGCCAGCCAAGTCGAGTATTCGACCTCTCTAATGGCCTTGGCCCGTAGTAGTTTAGCCACCTCCTTGTTGATAGCCTTTTGTCTTTTTGGGGTGAATCTTCTCCTCTATTGTCTGATGGGTTTGCAGTTTAGGTTCGCGCTGAGCCTGTGAACTATAACTTTGGGGTCGATCCCCTCTATATCTTCTTGTCTCCAAGCAAATATATTGTCGTTTTCCTTCAAGAAATGAATAAACTATTCCTTGATGTCATGGAATAGCATATAGCCTACAAAGAGCATTTGCTCGGGGTCTTCATCTATCCATATTGGCTCTAGCTTCTTCGAGGGTGTAGGTTAGGTTTGAATCTCATCCCTCATATCTAGATCATCTAGTTGGACAGATTCCACCTCCTTTTGCCTTATTGATGTGACGTAGCACTCTCTGGAAACATGTTAGTCCCCTCTTACCACTCCAACTCTATTTTTAGTTGGGAACTTTATGACCAAGTGATAAGACGAAAGGACGACTTTGATGGAGTTAAGAAAGGGTTTGCCAAGCAGAACATTAAATGTAGAAGGTGCATCCACCACAAGGAATTGGACCGCGGTGGTGATCTAGCAAGGGTGGTCTCCTAACGTGAGAATAAGCTGGATTGATCTCAAAGGCATGACTCTCTCCCCCTAGAAACCTAATAGATGGGTCTTCACGAGTTCAAGCTTGGACTTGTCTATTCTAAGTTGTTTGAAGGCAGAGAGAAAATGATGTCGACCGAGCTGTCGTTGTCGATGAGAATACGATGCACTGTCTTTTTTATGATAATAGCCTTCATGACTAAGGGATCGTCGTAGGGGAGCTGGAGTCCCTCCAAGTTAGCGTCTGATAAGGTTATTTCAGGATCTCAGCACGAGGCCTTTCGAACTGTCTAGATGTTAAGAAAATCATCTAACCTGGCTTTGCTAGCTGAGCTTGACTCTAATTCCATAGAGAAACCTCCTATGATGACCCTTATCTCTCATTGGGCTTGTTGGCATTGTTGCTGGGGTGGATCTATAGCTCGTCCATTTCGGTCCCTTTCAGTTTGATTTCTTTCCTCCCTGGCTACATAGTGCC